AGCAGCCGGCTGCCAACTGGGAGATGTGTGGGCCGCGTCCCCACGCCCTGTTCCCCATTGTCACTGGCTCCGGGGCCAATGCTGCAACCTCCTAACTAGCCTCCCTGAAGTTGTGCTAGGCACTGTTCCAGGCACGTCACATGTATTAACTCACTGCCTCCTCCCAGCAACTCCCATTTACACACGAGGAAACCGAAGCACCAAGAGATCACGTTACTCATTGAAGGACACACGCTGGCAGGTGGCAAGGGGCCGAACTAGGATTTCTCCCAGCACAGACTGGCTCCCAAGCCTAGGCTCAGAGCCATGAGGCTACGTGGCCTCTCCAGCCCCTGGACACGGTTCATGGGCCTGTGCACGGCACCGTGCGACCCGGCAGCTCCTGTCCCAGAAGCGCACAGTCAGGGTAGCTGTCCACATGGATGCCCTTTGCTGACTTCCCCCTGCACTGGAGATGAGATCTTGTTCATCTCAGCTCCTCTCTGCCCTGCTCCTCACCTGCCAGCCACACTGGCCTCCGACACACCAAGCCCATTCTCACCTTCCACCTCACCCTTCCCCAACTGGCGGGCCTCATCTCTGCATTTTCTTATGCAATATTCTGGCTCCCCCGGCACATGCCTCTCCAGAGAGGCTTCTCTCACCAGCCTCTGAGGCCTTTTCTCTGATAGTTTTCTAGCCCTGGGCCCCGTTCATCATCTCCACAGAGTCACCTCCATTGACCCACGACTGTGCAGTTAGCTTTTCCTCCCTTACCTGTTTGTGGTCCCTTCCCTGCCCCCAGCTGGAAGCACCAAAGAGCAGAGGCCAAGGCTGGCTTTATTAGTTCACTATCATATCCCATCTCAGCACTGTGCCTGGCATACAGCAGGTGCTCAATAAGGAGCTGAATTAATGGACGGGTTTCACTGAATGCATTTTAAAAATCAGGATACAAGATTAGGTGGGTGCTGTACATGGCACGGCTACAACTATGTCAATGTCAAGGGCCCCTGTGGACGTTTCCTGAAGGTGGCTGGCATCTCCCGAGGGTGTCATGACGGAGGAGTTTCCCCTGCTGTCACTGCGCATGTTATCCGGTCACAGGCAGACAGGCAGGCACCTGGTTCTCCTCTGCTCGTCTTCAGGGCACCGCTGGGCTGTCGGTCAGTCAGCCCAGTGGTGACTGTGCAGGAGTGCTCGCCTGGGGCCCAGACACGATACAGGACCCTTCAACTGTTCCCACACAGTCTTTTTTTTTTTTTAAGTCTTTATTGAATTTATTACAGTATTACTTCTGTTTTCTGATTTCTGGTTTTTTGGCCACAAGGCATGTGGGATCTTAACTACCCAACCAAGGATCGAACCTGTACCCTCTGCACTGGAAGGTCAAAGTCTTAACCACTGGACCACCAGGAAGTGGTGGTCTTTCTTACCCAGAGCCATCTTTCTTACCCCTCCCTCACCCCCAAATGATGCCATCCCATAAGTGATGAACTGGTTTAAATATTTTGGGAGGCATGCCCCAAAATGTTGTCGAAGCAGAAAATGCCAAGCCAGGGCGCCCCACAGTATGAGTTCTGTGCCGGTCACTCACTGGCTCTCATTCACTGAGAACCTACTATGTGCCGAGCCGGGTGCCACATGCTTCCTGCACGTGATCTCATTTGATCTTCAACAGCCCTTCGGGCAAAGTCATTTAGAACCATCTTTACGCAAGGCGACTGAGCCTGGCAAGCAGGAAGGCCCTGAGCAAGGCCACAAAGCTGCTCACTTCCAGCTGGAGCAGGGGCTGCAAACTCAAGCGCCCATGGGGCTAGGCTGGCGGAACACAGGGGAGCCCAGGCCGCATCTCCAGCTCCACCCAGAGCAGCAGGGGGCCGGGAAGCTCCCTTTTTGCAATGGTGGCAACCAGTTCAATCAAGAAGAGAAGCCCCACGTCCTTATCTGTTAGAGAGGAGTATTTATAGATGCAGTCCCATTTGCTTTAATACACAGAGGGTGGGAGGTGGTGGTTAAAAAGAGAAATGGCGGGGCCAAGGAAATGAGGCTCCACAAAAGGGTAAGAACTATTGAAGCTGAAGGCTAGGTGCATAGAGACTCACAATTTTATTCCCTCTAAAACCTAACCTCTTTTATCTAGTCAGGTCTACTCTAGTCTTCCCTTCCCACTGCCCTTTTGTTTCTCCTTCCCTCCCCTCCCCTCCTTCCCTCATGGCTGCCAATTGTGACCTCTGCCCCACGCCACCCTCCTCTCCAGTGAAAACAAAACAGGCTTTCGGTACAGTTCCTTTTTTCCCAAAGGGGTGACGGCCTCTTTGATGTGCTTCGTCAGAAGCTCCCTTGGCAGAGCTCACCCGCCACACCTGGCGCTGTGGGTCAGTGGATGTACGGGATGGCTTCTGAATGTTCTGATGTTGTGGTTTCTTATCGAGGTGTGACAGGTTTAGTAAATACTTCAAGTAACTACTTCAAGTCAACTCTTCCTGCTGCATTCCTTTAAACCCATTTAAGCAGTTGACCAACCCCAAACACTCCTCCCTGAGTCAGCTTCCTCAAGCTTCAGGGAGACAAAACATGACCTCCTAAGAAGCAAGCCCAGCCTCCAAAATTTAGCAAATCTGAATGCCCTCACCTATACTAGGATGTTTCCTACCTTTAGTATACACAGAAGGCATTTGGTGAAGTGCAGAGCATTGCTAATTTTTCCCCATGGAAAGTGAGAAGCTCGAGCATTTAAGAATAATCACACACACAAAAAGTCAACACATGCATATCTTACCCTCATACCATATGCTCATAAAATCCATAATTCATAGTATTTTCTGGCCGGCACCCTCTTTAGCAAAGACATAATTTGCAATCACGCTGGGTAAAGACAGACAGCCATTACTTTCTTAATGGCCAACTACCCAAAAAGGCTCAGTTAAGTGATTTCAACTAGCAATCTAATCAATTCAAATTGATAAGTGAAATACTTTTAACCTTTGTTTCAGCAGGCCATTCCTAGTGGGAGGAGGCAGGGTATGTGAATTCCCAGCATAAAATTTAATTCCATTTCACGGATGCAAACATTTTTTGCTGCCCTGACAGAGAGGCCCCGTTAAGGCAAACTGTTTTTCTCTCTTTCCTTGAATCCAAACAGAGAAAGATGGGTTTATGGGTCTCTTCAGCCTATGCCATCAATTTAAACCTTTACAGAAATCCCCGTGGCCATATTTCAAGGAGGAAAGGGCCACAGAAGATGGGCAGAGAGCACAGACAGGACGTAGTTTCCTTGCTCCTCTGAGAGAGAAGAAATAAAGGAGCATAAACAAAAAGGAAGCAAGAAAAAGGAGTCAGACCACCAGGCATAACCATAACAACCATTTACGGAGACCCTCCCACGAGTCAGGCCGTGTGCTCTTTGTGTGCATCACTGGATGTGATTATCAGGCAACGCTGACTCCATTTTCCTGAGCACAGTTACATGTGAGGCACTAGACTCGGTCATCTTATATTTCATATTATAGTTCACTCAAGTCTCAAAACAGCCCCGTAACATAATGAAGATCATCCCCGTTTTCCAGGCAGGGAAACGAAAGTCATGGTGGTTTCAGTCACTTGCTTGAGAGAATACAGAGCTGGGCAGGGGCCTCTTGCTCAAAAGATACAAACCCTCATTGGTCTGCATCATAACTTCAGGTCACACAACTGAACAGTTTTTGTCAAGACTCATTCCACTGTATACTAAAACTCGGTGAACTTTACTGGATGCAAGCTGTATTTCAACAAAGCTGATTTAAAACAAGGACTCTCTCTCTCATCGTCCACTACAAAGTGGCCACCTGCTGTTTCTGCCTCTCCAGCTCCCAGCTCTTCTTTTCGAGTTCCCTTTGGGGGCCGCCTCCTTCCTCACCCCCAGGTGATGGGGTTCAAAAGGAGCAGGTCCCACCCTCCCAGCATCACAGCTGAGTACGTGACCTTGACCTAACCAATCAGTGAATCACATTCTGCTGATCACTGACTGGGTCAGGAACAGTCTTGTGACTCAAGCTGGGCCAATGAGAGCATTGCTCTGGACTTCTCTAAAAGTTATAGGGAAAAAGAAGCTCTGGTTTTGTCAGGGCTGCTTAGCCAGTTCAGCAGATCTTAGAGGTCCTGATGGCCATCTTGTCACTACTTGGTGAGAGCTCTCTGGAGGATGAAGCCAGAACAGAGGAAAGAAAAGCTGAGAGAAGGAAGGTGGCAGTTTCCTGACGACATTGCTTAAGTACCTAGATCAAGCCATGCCTGAAAGGAGATCTAGATTGTTACACTGATATCAGTGAATCTGCCTCTCTTTTTCCTTAAGTTAGTTTAAGTTGGCCTTTCTATCTCTCATAACCGAAGAGTCTTAATATATCACAATGTTACAGCAAATAAGAGGAAAAAGTTATATGACTGGGAGAAGGGTTATAGGAACACAACCAGGCTTTATATTCTGTCTCCTTTAAATCTCAGTCTCACACTGAAGAGGAGAGCACTGAGGCGCCAGTTGGATGCTCAGGCTTGCAGGCTAAGCACATGGTTCTTGGGCCTCCAGAGCCTTCATCTTTACCTAAATGCTGGTGGCTTGCGTTTTTGAACACTTTCCTTTTTTTAACCAATCAGGATCCTTTAGTCATTAAAATCATACAGACCACCTTTAACACACACAACCGACCAGACTGGTGCTGCTCTGACTATATGGAGGGCAGGGATCCTAGAGCTGTGCCCACCCCTGCTTGAGACCCCAATCACCATGCACAGATACTTCAGCAAAACACCTGCACAGCACCCCTTGGTCTCCGGAAAGCAGGGCCCACAGACTGACTCCAAGTGTCCAGAATCTAGGGCCTCTTTTCTGAAAGTTTTGTGTGACATGCGCACTGTCTAAGTTCACGGTGACAGATCAACCCCAGTACGACATGCAGGTCGCCCACGAGCCTCCCAGTGATGCATGAGCCAGCCTGGCGGTGTCCCCCCACCCCTGCTGCCATGACGCAAGATGACCAACTCACTCAGGTCGAGGACGTCATCCGTTTTGATCAGGTCTTCCTCCCGCGTCAGGGGCAGCTGGGTCTCGGGCTCCCCTCGCAGTTGCAGGGACAGGGAACGGAGCATGAAGAACACCCGGATGGCCTGGACCAACAGTTTGGAGAGCAGAAAAGAGTGAAGTCAGTTTGGTGAGAAGCTCTGTATGGAGAAATCACACAATGACTCTAGATTTAAAATGAACAAGACAAAGCCCACCTCTTTCAGCATCGTGGTTCTGGTGCTTTTAGAGCCAAGATTTAAAATGAAAATAGTCAAGGAGGCAGCCTGTGTGCCATCACCCGCAGGCTTGGGCTGGGCCACTGGACCTCGCTGAGCACCTGCCATTTGCCGGGACCCGCCCTCTAGGGTCACGTGACCCTCGTGGCACCTGCATGGCTGGCAGTCCTGCTCGGCAGTCGAGGCTCTGAGACCCACGGAGGCCATGTGATCAGGCCCAAGCTCACACCTAGCGAGGGCCAGAACCAGGTCCCTTCTAACTAAACCAGCCCAGAGTCTGAAAATCCAAACCATGAGTGTTTCAAGGTCCACCTACTGAATGTGGGGGTGGGAGAGACAGAAGGTAAGATGCGGGTGGGGTTCAGAGCCCGCCAGACCCCACAACCCATCACCTGGAGCTCTGGCCCCTTGGCCTTCCAACAGGGGCTGTGCCTCTCTCAGGGCAGAGGGCCTGGCACCTGGCAGGTGTGTGGTGACGTCAGTGCCCCAGGAACCCTCAGGTCTCCCCAGCCGGGGACAGAGGTGGGGACAGAGTAGGGCCCCATCAGCACAGGGTTCCCGGCCCATCAAGAAAGCATCTTGGCGGACCCCAGGGTGAGCGGGGGTTTCCAGGGAACGGGAACAAAGCCGAACCCCAGGCTAGAAGCCAGAGAAGCTTGTGCAGCCTCCGCTTAGCCACCAGTCTGCCCTGGAGGTAACTCCCCGCGAGTCCCAGGTTGGGGCTGACCTGCCCACCAACCAGAGGCCAGGAAGTGGAGCGGCAGCCACGGGGCCCACGGCCTCCGGGCTACTTGCCCTGATGGAGGGAAACAGCCCCCGAGTCAGGTACGGAAGGTCTGTGCTGGACTCCTAGCTCCACTGCGCTGGGCAAGGCCCCCGGCCCCAAGAGCCTCAGTTTCCTCCTGTGTGAGATGGCGATGTGAGTCTCTACTGTGCGGGGCTGCGGGGAGTCTCTGAGATGATAGTGGGGGCAGCAGCCAGCACGGGGTCTGTAAAGGGGCAGCCAGGCCTCACTCCTGCCACTCCACAGCTCGGCACGAGGAGGCCGTGGGGACAAACCACTGGCGAGACCCACAGCCCGCTTTTGGGTCCCCTTGTTGCCAGTTCTGAGGCTTTAGGCCTGCCCACTGAGATGGGAGGTTGTCCGTTGTATGACAAGATGCCTCTCAAAACAAGGGGCAGAGGGAACAGATGACTGCCCACAAAGAGCCAGGTTTGCACTGACTTTTGTTGACCCAGGAAACGAGGATGCTGTGGGCACCTCTGAACCCTAATCTTGACTTGGTCTAGAACTGCTGGGAGATCTTGGGCCAATTACTTAATGCCCCGATGCGGAAAACTGGATGAACAGTCCTGTTTCCTGGACCTATTCTAGCGTCAGGTCTTCCTCAGTCAGCCAGAAGCACTAGAGAAACATAAACTTTCATATGATAAAGATGGTGGCTGTGGGGGCACTGGTGTATTATTCGATTGTTCTAAACATTTTTGTTTGCATGTTTCTGTTGTTTTATTTTTTGGCCGTGCCGTGTGGCATGTGGGATCTTAGTCTCCTGACCAGGGATCGAACCTCTGCCTGCTGCGTTGGGGCCTTAACCATTGGACTACCAGGGAAGTTCCTGTTCTGAAAGTTTTGAAGAGCAGTCTTCACAAAAACATCTGTGATAATCAGCAGATGTCGCTCTACAAACGCAGTGTGAGAAGCCCGGGCTCATGAATGTAAGGGCAGATTCCCACAGGGCCAAGGACTCCACCTGGGTGAAAGCAGGGCTCTCATGGGCATCTACAGGGTTTGGCGGGCCATGTTCACCAGCTCCACAACCCCGAGAATCCCCAAGAGAAAGGTGAGACACCGGGATTAAAGGTCATCTGATCATCTCACTGTCGCCCTAAACAACCACTACTCTCTCTGCGTACCCCCGGCCTGCCAGGTACGGGTGGGGGTTGCACCCCCACCATTCGAGCCATTTTAACCACCGTGAGTGGTTCCCATTTTACAGACAGGAAACCGAAGCCTAGAGACGTCAGGGAGACTGCCCAAGGTGATTCACCTAATAACTGACTCCAAAGACTGTCCTTCCAATCACACGCCTTTGCCTTCAACAGACTGAAGGATTAGGACCCATGCTTTTATTGAGTGTTTTTCTTGACTTTGCTCAATTAATGTGCAAATTGAAATGTATTACTGAAAGGAAAAGAGTATTCTTATTCTTTCAGATGCTTCCATAGGAAGATTGACTCAGGAAGAATGGTTTAGATTTGGAAAGGGGAGTCAGCTGACCAAGTTTAACTATCAAGAGAAATGGGCATGTTCAGGGTGGTGGGGCAGTAGACAAGCTTAACTATAAAGAACAGACCTTTCCAGTTTGCTTCCGTGCAGTGGGAGCAAGGAGAGCCCCACGAGTGGGGCAGCGGACGGCTTCCAAGTCAGACAGACCTTAGTCCAACCTGAGTCATGTGATTCCCCAGGCCTGGGCTGGAGCTGTGGAAAGGGGGTCCCCACCACCCCAGATCATGGGGCCACCTTGAAGATGCAAGGAGACAGTACAAAGACCACCCTGAGCCCCAGGGCTGGGCCTGGAACAAACACTCAGCCTGAGCCCTCTCCCCTGCCAGCTTGGCCGCACGTGCAAGCTACTGAGTTCAAGCGACAGTCACTCAGGCCAGGAGCCCACTGAGGCCGTGGAAGCCAGTCATTCTTAAAAAAGCGCTTTAAAGTAGGCACAGCCCTTTGGGAAAGCAACTTGGCAATACCAACAGAGTCACAAAAAAANAAAAAAAAAAAAAAAAAAAAAGTTCATACCCTTTGAACCAGAAATTCCACTTCTGGGAACTCATCCTAAAGAAATAAGCCAAAAGAAAGGAAACACTGTATTCGTCAAGCTGCTTATTACAATTTATCTGAAAATAATGTAATACTGGGAGCAACCAAAATGTCCACCAGCAGGAAAATGCCTAAGGAAATTAGGCAAAAGTCACCAGTTAAACTTTTATGCAGGAGTAAGAAATTAGACTTATTAAAACTGTATCAATGAAAAACTTCTTGCTCACAATGCAAAGAGAAAGGCAGCGAGGATGAAAGCAAGTCTGTCGCCCATGCACCCCTGCAACCATGAAAAGATGTGTCTGCAGACAAAGCTGGGAGGAGACACACAAAGTCTGTGTTGTTTGTTTAGGGTGATGAAATCGCCGGAAATTCTTTCACCCTACTTTTGAAACTCTGTGAGATGTTATTGTATTTTCCTTAATGCACGATACACATCCAGAGAGTAAAAGCAAAATATCCTATTTCCTCAAGGTCAATAGTGATAAACACGAAAACTGTTTGTGGTTTTATGAGGGAACAGGGACATAGAACTGGAGTGACAAATAAAACTTCATGCAAATATCTTGATTTCATAATGGCTTCCATGGTTATTCCATAAAGACGGCTAGTGGCTTAAATTCAGATTCTGGTATTCATCAAAGAGTCCTCTCCCCAACTCTCTTTTCTCCAGTGTTAGGCATCAGTAGGTTTTGACCGTTAAAAGACTTGGTTTCTTCCCCACTTAAGAGGCTAGAAAGCGCCATCACTCTTCAGCACCTCACTGCTGCTCTTGGTAAGGGCTGAGCAGCAGCACACAGGAGGAACCTGGGACTCAGAGAGGCTAAGTAACTTGCTCAGGGTCACACAGCTAAAGGTGGGATTCTGCCTCAGCTGGTGTGACTCGTGTGCCTGTGCTTTTTCTTAACTGCTTCTCTCGACTGCCCTGCCACGAGGGCTGGGTTCAGTTCAAGTCCAGGTTCTGCCTGCATGTTCTTGTCAGACCCCAGGAGTTCCTGTGACCACATGTCAACATGAATTTCCCGTCTCAGCCACAATCGCTCAGTGGCACTCTTGCTATTTTGGTCTTCTTTTGCATTATTTATTTATCCTTTCTATTCTTGCTTCTTGCCCAGTGCCTAGAAAAGGCTAGACAGATAAGTCGAATGAAAGAATAAACAGTGTAATTTGCAAAAGGCAAGGGGGAAAACGTGACTTTGTTGCCAGATGCTTCCCTGCAGCCTGCACAGCCCGTGCCCTCCTCTCCTGTCCGCTGCACTCACTTCGCTCCAGTCACCCCACACCTCAGACACTCTTCACTCTTCCTCATCTCGGGGCCTTTGCACTCACTGCTCCCTCGGTCTGGAAAAGGTCTTGTCACGTCTTTGCCTGGCTGGCTCCTCACTCCCCAGGTCTCTGCTCGGACGTCATCTCTGCCAGGCAGCTTCTCCTGGTCACTCAGTCTAACGCAGCACCCCCTCTGTCCTTCAGAGCCCTTGCTGCAGCCTGGTATCACCCCTGACCACAAGCTTTGCCTCTCTCCAGGCCCGGGAACACCCAAGGGCGGGACAACTTTCTGCTCACTCCTGCACCCTTGGGAGAGCACTTGGCACACAGTAGGAGTCCAGTGGCTCTTTGATGAACATACAAAGGAATGATTCACCATAAAGGGTGGTTTGAACTTCTTTGACAAGTCCTTAAGGAAAATAAAGGGTGGTATTTCTGAAAAGCGTCAGCCTCCTAAAAGTTAGAAAAGCCTACAGTTGGCAGGGGAAAAAAAAAAAAGAAGGAAAACCTCTGAATCCAACAGGACGAAATGGAATGTTCTCTGGATACGGGCAAAGAACTTGAAACAAACCACATAAGCCTTCAATTGCTTGCTAAACCATACACTTCCTCTAGCTCCATTCAGAGCACACCGCCGTGTTCTGATGTCTGAAACAGGCCGAGAAGCTAAGCTGTGGGAGGACTCCAGACAGCTGCCTGGCATCAGGGGCTGGGCTGAGGTGAGAGGTCAAAATTCCCCTTCAACAGTGGATCCTGGACATCAGAGGGAAACCTCTGGGGCCCATGGCTCTGCGTTGAGGTGGCCAGCCCTCTTATCTCATCCTGGCTCCAGGGACACCAGACTTGAGAGCTGCCTTTATAAACCCGTCTTGTGATGAAGGTCATAAGAGAGACCCCGGGGGCGCTGGTGTTTTCCTTGGCAGTGTGAGCCCTGCAGCCCATCTGGGGCAAGGGAGGTAGGCAGCAGTCCTGGGATCTTGAGGATGAGAGAGGAAGACCCCCACCCTCAGGCACCACCACTGGCCTCTGTGCTTCTGCCTTTCGCAGAGTCCTCCCGAGGGCCCTGGCAGGGCGGGCAGCGCTGGCTGCTGGCTGGGTGAGGAGACAGAGGCTCAGAAGGAGCAGGAACCGTGAAGCCCAAGCAGCCCTGCCCTCTGTCATAGGCCTCAGCCCAGAATTTCTCCCATGGACCAGGCGTGTCCGCCCCAGGCCAGCAGGACAAGATGCCAGGGACCGGCCAACCAGGCCGAGGCTTTCACTGTGCTCCCAGGGCTCTGAGACCTGTCCCCTGCAACCCCTCCAGGGCCACCACTTCCCACACAGCTGGCCCCATGGGGGCTCCAGACACGGCCCACAGCTCTCTGGGCCTCTGCGCACCCCCACCCCTCCCGCCGCAGCGCCCAGCCCTTCCCCCACAGGCCCGGCTCAAGGAGCAGCTCTCTGTGCTTCTTGCCCCCCTCCCCAGGGAGGATTAGGGACCTTGTGCTCCTGGAGAAACAGCCCTGGCCCATAGTTGTGTGTGCACTTCCCAGGTGGCACCAGTGGTAAGGAACCTGCCTGCCAAATCAAGAGACATAAAAGATGTGGGTTCAATCCCTGAGTCGGGAAGATCTGGAGGAGGGCGTGGCAACCCACTCCAGTGTTCTTGCCTGGAGAATCCCATCGACAGCCTGGCGGACTACAGTCCATGAGGTCACAGAGTCGGACATGACTGAAGGGACTTAGCACGCATGGATTGGTGCTGCCTTTCCCATCCTCACCCTCTTTAGTCTTTTCCATGAGGACTGCGGCTATGTTTCCTGGTATCCAGCACCAAGTAGGACTATTAAATACAATGAAGGCAGCAGTGGGAGGCAGGGGGTCAAAATGGTCACACCGCCGGTTGAATCCTGGCTCTGCAATTTGTCAGCTGGGGAACGCTGAGCAAATCACTCAACTTCCTCGTGCCTCAGTTTACTCCTCTGTAAGATGGGGATTATACTAGTGCCAACCTCCCAGGGTGGTTGTAGAAATACGTGAGGAAATTCTTTAAGAAGAACTGATATGAATGATCCACTTTGTCACAAAGGCCATGTGCTCATATAACTGTTAAGAAAACCTGATGGACTGTGGACCAAAAGGAAGGCAGGATGCGACCCAGAGCAGCAGATCTCTGCGTTCACAGTCTTCTGGATCTTCTAGTTCAGGGGCCAAGGAGAACCGGGACGGGGTCCTCTCTGGCCCAGGGACACAAGAGCTGGACTGGGCATGCGGCTTTGCCGTTATCCTGCTGGGGAGCATCTCCAAGAGCAACCAAAGGTCAAGGGTGAGTGTACCCACTCCATAAGGAGTACAGACGTGACACCCACTTGTCAGAACCAATCCCCCCGTAAAAGCTGACACCAAGGACGCCCAGTACAAACGCTGCCACCCACAATCAATCATGTGCCCGGCCACGGGGCCTGCACACCTGTCTGGGAGCATGAGGGAGGCAGGCGTCACTGGCTCAGAGAGAGGGTGGGTTCTGTGGTGAGCATGGTGGGTCTGGGTGGATGGCAGGGAATGCAGACTGACTTCAGACATGGTTCCAACTTTCTCTGTGCCCCAGCCCCGACCCGCCAGGCTTTCAAGGCAAACTAGCAGCAAGAAGGCCAGGAAATCTTCTTGTCTGAGGCGGGTCCAGTGAGTCAATCCCGTCTCTCAAAAAGGTCACAATACTTCCTCCACTCTGGGTACACTTGGATTATCTCAGGGGAAGGCTTGGCCTGATAACAGGAGCAATGAGGGCAAGGGATTCCTCTAATTTATCCACACCTCCACGTCTCCAGGGAATGATTTTCTAGGAAAGGGTTATGGTGCTTTCTAAGAAAGAAACTGTGATCTGACCAGGGAGATAAAGTACCCTGAACAGCCCCGCGAGATGGCTGAAGAAAAAAACTGCTGATAACGGAAGTGCACATGGCAGCTGGGTTCTGAGAACTAACCTCTTCACACACCTCTCCCGCAGGCCCAAAAATAATCACAACGGCATTTTCGTGTGTCATGCCCCAAGATTCCTCAGATACCTTAATGCCACGCCATCGCCAGGGGTCCCGGCCTCTCGGGGCTGGTTCTGCAGCAGCCTCACCTGCTCTGCATCACCACGCTCCTTCAAAGGAGCCCAGCCCCGCTTCCTCTCTCAGAGGTCTGGGGCTGGGCCAGCTTCGCTCAGTGAAGGCAGTCTGCCTGCCACCAACATCTTTCAGTGTCTGTTTAACAAATGGCAGGGACTTCCCTGGTGGTCCAGTGGTTAAGAATCTGCCTTCCACTGCAGGGGACATGGGTTTGATCCCTGGTTGGGGAACTAAGATCCCACACACTGTGGAGCAACTCAGCCCATGCGCTGCAACAACTGAACCTTCTAGCCACAACCAGAGGGAAGCCCATGGGCTGCAGCAGAGACCCGGCACAGTCAAAATTAAAAAACAAACACCCAGAAAGAGGGCAGTGCTCGTGGAAAGCTAGGCCCTTGTGGTGGAGGGGTGGGGGCGAGGGCTGGGGGTTGCTGTCTGGCTCTATGAGGGTGAGCTGGAAGGTGGGTCTGGATGTGCTCTGAGACCCTCCCTCTCCTGTCCTGGGGGTGCTTCCTGGTGAATGGTTGCCCAGGATAGAGGCCAAGGCCAATGCCCACTCACCCGCCGGGTCTTTTCCACGTCACCACACGGCAGTCGCTTCACAAAGTCGATGCCGGTCAGCGGCGTGCCTGTTGGGGGCAGCAGGATGGAGGCGTCCATCATGAGATATTCCACGTTCATGGGCTTCATCTGGAAGACAGACGGTGGAGGGAGGCTCGCTGAAGGGAGGAAGGGGCCAGAGCAGGTGACATGGGCCTCTCACCTCCATCTGCTCGTATTCAAGGGTGCATCAGCCCCGACGCAGACTGAGGTGAAGCCTCGAGACAGCCAGATGGGAGAGATGTGCCATTTTGTTTTCTAAGCTGCAGGTTTTCACGCACGTGCAGTGACAGCTCAGACACCTTGGAGAAGCTGCCGCCCTGCTGTGAACAGATTTGCTTTCTCACCCCCAAGTTCCCCTCCCCTGAGCAGGGAGACAGGCCTCAGGAAGGAGGCCTGCCTCTTCGTGGCAGTCCCTTTAGGGTGGTCTGCCCGCGGTGCGGGGCCTGACTGCCACCCGCCTCCCACCCTGGCGCTCTTAGCTGTGATGGCAGCAGGTGGAGTGGCACGGCTTCCATTTAGGGAGTTCTGAGTGCGGGCAGGCGGGGAGCCAAAGGCTCTGCGTGTCATCTCCTGTCCAGCAGGGAGGCTTCTGAACTTGGCTCAGAGAGGCTGAGGAGCGGATAAGGGCCTACAGGGCTGGCTGGTGGCAGAACCAAGACACGGACCCAGGCCTGGCTCCAGAGCCACTATGACCCAAATGTGGTTATGACCCACATAGAGCCAGCATTCCCACTTCCCTCCTCTTCCCTGAACTTCCTACCTGGGGGAATAGAACCAAGTCACTCATGAAGCACCTACTACACGCCAGGCCCCTGCAGGGCCCGCCTCCTACTGTGCGGCTGTTCTACACTACAGAGGGGACCGCTGAGTTCAGACGGAGGGCCCGTGCCCACAACCACCGGGCCAGCCAGGGGCAGAGGTGTCTGCTTCCTTCCACGGTGCTTTCAGGAAGCCTTCTCTGATCACCAAGACACATGTTAACATCACCTCCCCGCCTGGAACTTTGCTGCCTAAGTGAAAGTGTTAATCACTCAGTCGTGTCTGATTCTTTGTAACCCCATGGACTGTAACCCACCAGACTCCTCTGTCCATGGGATTTCCCAGGCAAGAATACTGGAGTGGGCAGCCATTCCCTTCTCCAGGGGATCTTCCCGACCCAGGGATCTAACCGGGGTCTCCTACTCTGCAGGTGGACTCTGTCTGCCTGACCCACCAGGGAAGCCCCAGTGCATCAGAACCAACTGCTTAATGTACACGTGTTGCTGGACAGACATGGGGCATCATAAAGGAACGACATGCCACAATATCCTATGGAATTAATGTTACTCCTTTAAGCATCATAAACTTCGTGTCTCCCCTTTTTAGGAAGCGGGCTTCAGTCACATCACACTTCCTCCCCTCCTGTAACATAAAGCTGACTACACAGGGCAGGACCGTGGCGATGGCTCAGTGGTCCAGGGACCTGGAGAGAGGCCCTCAGCTCACCACCTTCTTTGGGATCCATGAAGCCTTCCTCCAAAGGCCTGAGGTCCGCCGTCCCAACTCCTTTATCCCTCTATACCAGAGCGGGGTGGCAGGGCCCTGTCTCCCACCCAGGGTGCCCGCGGCACGGCCTTCCTACGCGGCCTTCCTGCGGCTCCCTCTGCCCTCTACCGCCTCCCAGCAAACCCCCTCTAGGACTCCCGTCCATTTTCCCTCTGCATGAAGCAAGCGGAGACGGGGAAACAGTGAAGGGTCAGAAGACGAGCAAAAGTGCTCGTCTTTCAGCACCCAAGGGCCTGCCCCACTTCTTAGGGCTTAGCGGCTGTTTTCCTAAAGTCTGGGTTAATGGCTGACTTTGGGCACATGTCAGCCTTTAATTCCCTAGAGTGTTAGGCATTGTGCAAGACATATAATAGATGTCATTGAGACAAACAAACAAAACACAGGAAGTGCCCTATGGTGGGAGGGAGAAGAACCAAATATTTGAATATTCATGTTTCTGAACCTCCACAGTAGGCAGTCCCTAGGTATTTCACAACCTGGAAAGTCATGTGGTTTGGGCCCCATTTTACAGATGGAAAAGCCAAGGCTCAGAATGGAAGCAACCTGCTCGAGGTTGCAATAAGTAGCAAAAGCAGAAATGGAGCAGGGGTTTCAGAGTCCAAGCCTTTCTCTATTGCCAAGTGACACACAAGAAAGAAGCCAAACTTCTGGAGAGTCATGTTGTGGAAGGGAACGTCACGGGCGTAACAAAGATGGCATCTGAGCAGACTCCACTCCGCTCCACTTCATGGTCCCAAGAACATGAGCCAGAGACCCTCTTTCCAGTGTGGAGGGGATAACGGGGTGTGGCCATCGGAGGTGTGAGATGCCTGTGAGTGCCTCGAAGAGCACCAAGAGGAGGCCTGGGCGCTGCTGGGGCTTTTCTGAAGGTGAGTTATCCCAATTTAAACTCTTTCCTTGAAAACCCTCCGGGAGGTCTCACACATGCTGCGAGCAAGAATGTTCAGATGCTCACTGATTGGCCAGGGAGCCATGCAGCACATGCTATCTTTATCTTGTTGACATTTTAAACACGTCGGTTTATGGTAAACGTCCTGAATCACTTCACTCTTGGGTGAGAAACGTCCATGAAAAGAGTCACTTAGCACCGAGTTACTGAGTCTTAACTGAGGGGCAGGTGTCAGGGACGCAGAGGCAGATGATCAGAACAGTGCAACCTTCAATCTTCTGCAACTGTCATTTCTCATGATCGTGCCTGCTGGACGGAGACAGGGAGACCGCAGGCTGGCACGGCAGGTGCAAGAAGAGCCACACTCAGGAACATTCTGATGGCACGGTAAAGAAGGAGGTGGCATCGTACTGTGCCAGGCAAGGCAGGGCACTGGGAAGTGATGGCTGGGCAACTGTGGGCACCTCCCCCAACCTCTGCCTCTTGTTTCCTTATTGGCAAAAGCAGGATAATAGCAGCAGTGATTCACATCAGGTTGACATGGGGATTAAGAGATTTCATATGTATGACTAAGTCCTCAATCAAAAACTACGCATATCAGCTTATCTACAAACCAAAACAGCCTCACAGACGTAGGAAACATGGCTGCCAGTGGGGAAGGCTGGGGGGAAGGGATAGTCAGGGAGCTTGGGATGGACATGTAAACACAGCTATGCTTGAAATGGATAACCAACACGGCCCTACTGTATAGCACAGGGAACTCTGCTCAACGTTATGTGCAGCCTGGATGGGAGGGGAGTTTGGAGGAGAGTGGATCCATGTATATGTCTGGCTGAGTCCTTTTGCTGTCCACCTGAAACCATCATGGCATTTTTAACTGGAGATGATCCAATATAAAATTAAAAGTTAAAAAAAAAACAACTACTCATATCAAAGTGAATCTTCCTAACCCATCTCATGACTCAGCCCAACTGAGGGGGAGTGAACGTCATCTCTAATTTCACTGCTGAGGATTAAAAAGGACCGTTTTCAATGCCCTTCCCCACCCATCTCTGCCATTCGAACAGAAAGCCCCAAATTAGATGAGCTCTCTCTCAGTTTGGCAGGACAAGCTTGGCCACGAGTCCTTCTGGCTCCTCACTTACCGTCATACTCCTGTACTCATCTTCAAACATGTCCAAAAAGATTTCTTCTCCCTAAAAAAGGAAGGAAGGAAAGAGAAGATTATGTATATTTTTTTTCCATAAACAACAAAGGATTATAAACTCCAGTTCGCGGCTTTTGGGTCATCTGTTTCTTATTAGTGAGTTCTCGTAAACCACCAGGAAGTAAAATACACACGTGAACATGCACACACACACACACACATATTCGAATGAAACCCAAATATCAAATTGCACCTCAACGGTTTTCTCCTTTTCTCCAAGCATGTGTCATTGTGGATTTCTAGTGTCAAGGCAGTTAATTAACCACCACAACAAAAATCACTTCATGTACAATTAAAATATAAAAATGGTTAATGTTTCAGGTATTTAAAATGATCTGTTTGCTGAGAATGGTTGGAGAAAATAAGAGTGTGGGCTAAGCTGTCATGTTAAAGCTGACAGAGGCTCCGCACGTCTGGAAGGAAGAGTATGATTAGATACGCTTAAGGCTAACATTACGTGGCTTGTTCCATTTGTTTCTGAGGCGTGCCTTTGGGGGTTTTAGAGTGCCTGTGGCCCTGAGGACCCCCCAGAGCAGGGTGGTGGGGAGCGGCTCTGAGACTCATAGACCAGGGGCCAATCTCAGTTGTTCCTCTCAGAGCCTCTCTGTTTCACTGCAAGATGGGGTGACTGGCCCCGTCTGTGCAGGTCAATGTGTCATCATGACCACCCTGGACAGGTCTGCAGCCTGGGAGGACACAGGCTGGTAGCACTGGTCTGGCCTGTGCCGTAAGTCTCCCTCTCTCCCCCAGTACTGTCTCTCTCTTTCACACACATACACACACACAGTTGGGGTGGGAAAAGCAATAGGTCCTTTGTATGTTTTTCCAGTTATCAAAACTATCAGCAAACTTGAAAGTTCTTGTTTGGTATGAAAGTGAAAATGTTAGTTGGCTCAGTCGTGTCCAACTCTTTGTGACCCCATGGACTGTAGCCCGCTAGGCTCTTCTGTCCATGGAATTCTCCAGGCAACAATAAAAAGAGTGGGTAGCCATTCCCTTCTCCAGGGGATCTTCTCAACCTAGGGATCGAATTTGAGTCTCCTACATGGCAGGTGATCTGAGCCACCAGGGAAGCCCCTTTGGTGTGAGACCCACAAAATAACCACAGAAATAATCCTTGAAAATATTGATAAGCTCCTGATATACTAAGGGTACAAACCTTAGAGGATAAAAGAGAGAAAAACCTGGGTTGGGAGAAGGGAGGTGCGATTCAAATACAGATCTCCTTTTGTCACTGAAAAAGAAAAATCCTCTGGGAAGATGCCTACCTATATCTCTTCCTGCTTTTTGTAATCCAGAAGCTTGTGGGGAGGGTGGGGAGGACAGACTAAGTGCAGTTACACCGGAAGGAGTGTCAAAGATGACTGTGCTGAGGACTCACCCTCACTTCAAGCCCAAGTGGGGTTGGGGCCAGTCTGGGGGGAGTGGGATTCCGCCCCGGAACACGGGACCCACCGTGGTACCACCCTCTTCTGAGCACATCCACAGTGCTACAGCTTCAGGGGGTCATCTGAACCCCACAAGGGGCATTTCCATATTATGTGACCTGGTTTTATCTCAGTGAACACTGACAGTAATGGACAGTGGCTGAAAAAATTTCTTACAAGGAACAAGATTCCCAGGAGGGGGGATCGGGATGGGGAATACATGTAAATCCATGGCTGATGCATCTCAATGTATGGCAAAAACCACTACAATATTGTAAAGTAATTAGCTTCCAACTAATAAAAATAAATGGAAAAAAAATAAAATAAAGAGAGTGCAATGAACGAAAGTGCAAGTGAATGAGAAAACAGCAGTGTTGACACCTTTCCTCCTCCTGGGAGGATCTCTTCATCAGTCAGATTACGAGGGAAAACCACCACTCACTGGATCCAGAGAGAGCTGATGTGGAGGCCAAAATATCAGAAAACTACTAGGGCTGTCTGACATATGGATGAACCCACTGCTGACAAATGATGAGCCCTGCCTGAGTCTATCTTACCCTTAAGAAAAGAGGGAAACAAAGTCATCATAAGGCGGTATCTTAAAGTGAATCCCCTGGAAACTGAACCTACACATTTTCCAGATACTGAAGGTCATGGGGGCCCTTTATCAATTCTCACTAAATTCATGAGAAATGTTTAGAGCCTGTGTGAGGTTTCTCAGCACATAGGCACACTTCATTTTATTGAGCTTTGCTTTACTGAAGCTGAAACTCCAATACTTTGGCCACCTGTTGTGAAGAACTGACTCACTGGAAAAGACTGACACTGGGAAAGTTTGAAGGCAGGAGGAGAAGGGGACAACAGAGAATGAGATGGTTGGATGGCATCACCAACTCGATGGACATGAATTTGACCAAGCTCCGGGAGCTGGTGATGGACAGGGAAGCCTGGTGTGCTGCAGTCCATGGAGTCGCAGAGTCGGACATGACTGAGTGACTGAACTGAACTGAAGTTACTGTTTCAAAGATACTACATTTTTTATAAACAAATTGAAGGTCTGTGGCAAATGTTAGTTGTCAAATGATAATTAGCATGTTTTAGCAATAAAGTTTTCTCTTTTAAGGTAGCACTAGGTCTTTGTTGCAGCTTGAGCTTTCCTTAGTTGAGGCATGCAGGCAGAGTTGTCCCAAGATATGTGGGATCTTAGTTCCCCAACCAGGAATCAAATACTCGTCCTCTGCATTGGAAAGTGGATTCTTAAACAATGGACCAACAACAACAAAAAAAAGACCATTGAGGAAATCCTAACAATAAAATATTTTTAATTAAGGTATGTACAATCCCAAAGGAAATCAACCCTGAATATCCAGTGGAAGGACTGATGCTGAAGCTCCAATACTTCGGCCACCTGATGCGAAGAGCCGACTCATTAGAATCCATGGCTGATTCATGTCAATGTATGACAAAAACCACTACAATATTGTAAAGTAATTAGCCTCCAACTAACAAAAATTAATGAAAAAAAAAAAAAAAGACCCTGATGCTGGGAAACAGTGAGAGCAAGAGGAGAAAGGGATGACAGAGGATGAGATGGTTAGATAGCATTACCAACTCAATGGACATGACTCTGAGCGAACTCCAGCAGACAGTGAAGGACAGGGAAGCCCAGTGTGCTGCAGCTCATGGGATCAAGTCAGACACGACTTAGTGACTGAACAACAGAAATACATTTTTTTAGACACCATGCTATCACTCACTCAGCGGATCACAGTACAGTGTAAGCATAACTTTGATTAGCACTGGGAAACCAAAGCATTTGCTTGACTCTGTTGTGGTATTTGCTGTTTTGCGGTGGTTTGGAGTCAAATCCAAAGTATCTCTGAGGTCTGCCTGTACATATATATAAACAATACACATGCATACAGTTCATAGATTCATATGTAATTCAGTAATTTTATACCTATGCATGTGTGCACGCTAAGTCACTTCAGCTGTGTCCAACTCTTTGTGACCCCATGAACTGTAGCCTGTCAGGCTCCTCTGTCCATGGGATTCTCCAGGCAAGAATACTGGAGTTGATTGCCATGGCAAGCACGTATAATTCATGAACACAAAAGTTCCTATGTATAATTTAGTCGTCTAAGCATCTGTATATAATTGATGGTTTACACGTAAATTCATCAATGAACAAACTCATATATAATTGATAAATAAACAATCCCACACTAGGGGTGAGTCCTCAAAAGTTGCGCTGATAAGACAGCATGAGCAGAATAGCACAGAGACCACTGCTGCGGAGCGGACAGAATGGCACATTTTCCCTCAGGACTCAGAGGGTGTAAGACAGGACTGAAGCCACGACTGTCCTGCTTCCCGCCCCTGAGCCCCGGCCCACCTTATAGAAGTGCCGCACCAGGTGGACGCTCTCTTCTCGGGCTCCCTGTTAAAAGAGAGGGAAGGCGTGAGGGGCAGGTCTCACGGAGGCGAGTGAGTAGGGGCAAGCCACGGATTCTAAAATCTGAGGCTATAGAAGACAGACGCTGGGCTGATAATCTTAATCCATAAAGTGGTTCTTCATGGGGGTGGTGGAGAAGGAGGTTAAAACAGAGCTGGGTAAAGGACAAATGATTCAACCTGATGACTTGGAGAGCTGTTGACACGCAGTTACGTGAGGGAAGTGGGTTCTATTAATAAAGTTCGGCTGTGACGACTCCACTCTTATAAACAGAAAAATTCACGTGTGAACGTGTGTGTCAGGGTATACGTGTAGCTGGAAAGACACACACCAAGCGTCAACTAGTGTTACTTTTTACCCCTCTGTACTTTTCTAAACTTTCTAAAACAAACATGAAAAATAAGAGGGAAAACAACAAATGCTATTCAAAACATGAGTGTACGCAGTAGCACGATAAACCATAAATAAATAAACATGTGTCTGTACATGAATACAACTTTCAAAATATAAAAAGAAAAAGAAAAAAATCCTGGAGACAAATACAGAGCCAAACACAAGAGAAACTACTAAGATTCGCTAATCAGTGGGCTGCTTGGGGCCGCCTCGGTGGAAGGACAGGTCCGTGGGGACAAGCGGGCAGGGGGTCGGCAGGGGGTCTGTGGCCTGTCTTCCTCCTGCTGGTGCCTCGCACACCCGGGACCAGCTACGACCTGGATGCAGGGGCTTCCCTGTGACCTCCCCCCACTGTGGGGCTGGCGCGGCAGGAACAGGCCTCACCTCCAGGCAGGCCAGGTGCACGTCCTTTATGATGCAGCCCGTGCTGGCCACGACTTGCTGCTTGAGGAGCAGACAGCTCAGCTCCAGCGTCGCCAAGCGGATCTTGCCGTCTGCAGGGCACACTTGGGTCAGCCACGCCCACGCCCTCACGTGCAGTCTCCTGCCTTCCTGACTTGGAGATCAGCGGGTCAGCCGACAGGCCCCCCGACATCCCGTGGGGACAGAGAGGGACCCCCACATGCTAATCCCCTGCCCAATCAACTACAGTTGAAAGTTCCCATCAAAACTGCCTGTACCAAACGCTCCTCTAAGCCCTCTTATGGGCAACAGGGAGGCAGGAAAAATGGGTAACTGATTACTGAAGACCTAGAAAGTGGCTGTCTGTGGTCGCTTTGCTTGTCCAGAGGTCCTTCCCCTCCTTCAGGGACCAGAACCCCTTTTTCCTTTGGAGGGTCACCAGCCCCACTCTTGGTCATGGGCTGCTCCCCCTGCCTCGGGGTGGGGGGCACAGCCCCCCAGGCTGGTTGGGGCCATCCAGGCCCCTAGTCACAGTGCCTGCACAGGGGACCAGCCAGGAAGCCAGTCACAGCCAGTGAGGCTCAATTCCACCACTCTCAGGAACCCCTGGGCTCGAGACCCTCTCCCCGTGCTGGGCTGCAGACTGGGACGTTTTCACACTCCCGTGTTCTACAACCTGAGCCCTGAGTCCTGCCTTCCACCACTCAGCATCTCTCCTACAGCAAGTCTAGAGCCTGACAGAGAAAGGGGAGGCGGGAGCGGCAGGCAGTTAACTGGCCAACACAGAAGGCCGCAGAGCCCAAGATGAGCTTGCAAACACTGTGCGGGTCCCGGGTTCACTGTGCCTCCAGCCAGAGCCCAGCAGACTCGAAGTCACACAGGCCAGCAGTCTTGTTTGTTTGTATTGTCTCAGCGAGTCTGAGCTGGGCTTCTGTCAACTGCAACCAAGTCCTGACTAACAGCCTGCTGTCCTGCTATGAGCCTGGAGCCGGGCTCCTCAAGGAGCCTCTCTAAAGCCCCACTGCAGTGGGTGCTCTGCAAGCTGAGGTTTGGAGACGGGAAGGGGCAGGTTCCCAGCCTCACTCACCTGGGCCGTGGCGGACTCAGGTTTCCTGGATGCCAAAACCCACACCCGGCATTGTCCCTGGAAGCACCTGTGACCGCCTGACTGAAGGGCATCCCGCTCTCAGCAAACTCCCCCCAGGTCTTTAATCTCACACAGGAGGGGCCAGGAAAGGGGGAGTCTCTGGGAACAATGGGGCCCAGGATGGGCCGCTGGGGGAACACCCAAGGCGGGCACTCAGCTGCACCTCCCTGCCTGGCTTTATGCCTCAATGGTCAGGGGCTGGGGGGAGGGGGAAGACAGGTGAGAAGAGGGAATCCGCTGGCCCAAAAGTGAGCAGGTAGCATACAAGCAAAACTAGGCCTTCCGAAGCCCAACACAAACCCAGCCCAGGCAGAGGCTGATCAGTCTTGGCTGGGCCACCCTGCCCGCCCTGGCCCAGCAGCGCCCGCCAGCCTGGCCTCCGCCGAGCGCGGGCGTTCTCTGGCCCGCAGCCCGGCCCCCGGCCGCCCTGTGGGCCAGGTCAGAACCCCTCTGCCCCCTCTGGGGACGCAGACCGCGACGCCCCACTGGGGCCACCCTTCCCCTGTGAGCACCCGGTGAGCTGCTGGCTGCCCCTCCCAGAGGTCTCTCTCCAGCGAAGCTTCCAGACCGTCCCTCTGAGCTGCCCACTGTCTTCTCCTCAGAAATCCAGGCAGCACTACACACTGTCCGCAGCGTGTTTGCTGAGCCTCCTGTCCCTGGAGGGTCCTCCCCAGCACCCAGACCACACTCCGCCTTCCCTGTCACCAAGCCACACCTGGCTCCTGCTGCTCCTGCCACAGGCTGGCCCTGGGCACCATCCTCAGGACCATGCTCTGCCTCCCCAGCTGGACCTTCAGCAGAAACTGACCCCACTGAGCGCCCCGTGGTCCCAAGAAACCACATCTTTCTTGTCCCCCAAAACACCCTCCTCTGGGCCCTTATGGGGCCTGGGCCAGGCTCCAGAGCCGGCTCCCCTGTATGTCACCTCCAGAGATCAGTAGTGGCCCTGGGCTCAGTCCTAGACATGCCTCTCTCCTCTCCTGTGACTTTATAAAGATCTATGAGCCCTGCAGAGTTAGTTCTGGCCTTGACCCTGCTCTGAGGCTTAGATCCCATCTCCACATGGAGCCCCGGACTGTTGGAACTTCACAGAGGATAGCGTCCATATGTCCCCTACTTCCTGCACCCTCATCACTTGCACACAGAGGCTGGAATACAGGAGGCTCTCAATAAACAGCTGTTGAGTTTACCGATACCCTGACATCACCCTTTAGGCTGTGGACCTGGTTCTCCAGACCCTTGTGGTCACTCCCTGGCAGTCACGCTGTGCTCTGGCCACCACTCCCCTGACTTCTGAAGCCCTCACCTGCAACCATATCCCTGGCCCCCTGCCCTCCTGAGCCCACCGCCTGGACTGCTCCTGCTAGCTCAGCTCAGTGGTTCTCTCCCCACCAGGCAGCATCTCCGTCGGGCCATTTCCTGGGCTCTCACTCACACCCTGATCATCTTTTTTCCTGCCTTGAGGTCAGGGTTTCTTAATCTTGGCACCGTTGACATCTGGGGCCAGACAATCCTTTGTTCTGGGGGCTGTTCTGTGCACCGTAGGGTGTGGAGCAGCACCTGGCCTCTGACAACAGAATGTCAGTAGCACCCGTCTCCAAGCTGTGACAACCAAGAACGTCTCTGGACGCTGCCCCGTGGGGACAACGCTGCCCCCAGGTGAGGACTGCTCCGCTACTTCATTCCACCTGCTCTTCCCAGCCCATGCTGTGGCTGCAGGTCGGCGCTGGCCAAGGCCTCAGAACTAGGCTGACACCAGGCACGTATCATCAAAAGCACCCAACCCACACCTTCCAGCCTTCCCCTTCGCTCACCCTCCCAGCCTAGTTCCTGCTCAAATGTGGCCTCGACCACCCTGAGAGGAGGGCTGCAGACACTGGCACAACTGACCAAAGCAGAAGTGAGTGTGGGAGGAGAAGACAGCGAGAATCTGGCATAAACACCATGGGGGGCGGGAAGAGGAGACCCCGGGATGAAGACAAGACTGGACGGGAGGATCTGGGTGGCCCAGGGTGTCTGTGCGGCTGGGGAGTGGCTGAGCTCCGCCTGGATTCCCGGCATGGCCAGGTCGGGATGCCGAGGCTCCTGGGGCTGGTGTGGGGCCTGGTCCCTGCAACTCCCCCACCCCCGGGCATTGCCCGCACGCCTGGGCACCTGGCTGGGCTGCGTTGTTCATGATTCTGATGAGCCTCTCAGCCAGGAGGTGGTTGTAGGTGGTCTTCTCGGCTGCAGTGGGCACTGGAAGCTGGATTCGCTCGAGTTTCTCAGGATCCATGCCTGGAACAGAGAGAAGGGGCCGGCTGTCAGCGCAGCCGCCTTACCTTGTCCCGAAAGGCCCCTTCGAGCTTAGCTTCCTCAACCTTGGCTGTCCACCGTCTACCTTCCGGATTGCTGCCGCGACCAGGTACTGCCCCTGGTATGACTCACCTCAGAGTTTTCTATAACTGGAACTTAAGGAAATATATTATTAAAGCATACATTTTCTTTGTTTCAGCCCCACCGTGCAGCTTGTGGGATCTTAGTTCTCCAACCAGGGATTGAACCCAGGCCCCTGGCAGTGAAAGTGCAGAGTCCTAAGCACTGGACCACCAGGGAAGCCCCTAAAGCATACATTTTCCATCACTACTTGTAAATGGGAAACCAGGATGGCTGCAATACTGACAGCAACAAGGCTTTCACGTTTCAGCCAAACAATGTGGACTGGCTGCTCACTGTAGACTAAGGTCCACTCTGTGTTATGAAGGGTGATGGGCAGGTAAGTGAAAGGTGCTGAGGTCACACTAGCCTGACTGGAGACACGCTTCTGGGCACAATCGGGGGAGCGGGAAGTGGGGAGGAGAGGAGCAACTTGGGCTTTGCTGTCATTTCGGGGCTGGTCTGTGAACCCCCGAGGCCACTGCTGTGTGAGACACGTCCCACAGCGGGGGTGGGGGGGACAGACCAGACACAAAGGAACCTGCAGTCATGCCCACCGATTGCACCTCCAGTTCTTAACACCAAACTGGTGAGCTGGCCCCCGAGAGGCTAGCACACAGGCGGCAGCTCCCGCCAGGCCCATACAAAGGTGCAGATAGGATAAAATGAACAGAGTGGATCTGTGTTTAAGGCACAGAGGGATCACTTTTCTTCCAGTGAAATCTATTAATAACTGCATTTCAAAGATGAAAGACAAGACAGGGGAGAGGAGGTGGGAAGCAGAGACGGCATGCTCAATCTAACTGAACTCAGCACCACTTTTCCTAAAGCAGGACCTGGGGGCCGGGGTGACAGGACGACCCGCTAGGGCCACATCAGCAGGCTGAGTGTGGGACAAGAAGTGATGTAAAGCCTCCTCTTGTCTAGCATGGCTCTGCAAGAAAACTACACCCGTAGAAAAGCTCCCAGAAACAAACATTTCACTTGCTCCATGTCCGGGGAGCTGGGAAGGATTGTTTGTGCCTGAAGCACGTCTTTTCCTGTTATTCTACAAAAGGGGGGAAGGTGGCACTTCTGGGAACTCTTGAAATACGGCCCCTTGAGTCTCAGATGACGCTTCATTTAGAACCTTGACAAAATAGTGGAGGATAGCAGTGAAGAGCTGATCGTCTGGATTCTAAGTGACTCCCACGCTCACACGTTGACGTAATAAACCATAACAATATATCTTGCTTTATTGAATTCCTTCCAGATCGGAACCAGCGGCTAAGTCATGCCAAGGAGATAACACGAGTGGGGGAGGCCTGAGGGCTGGAGGTGGGCAGCACCCTCTCTCACGACCGCACACACATGGCTTCGTCAGAAAGATGTGACTGTGATGAAAATTGAATTTGTTGGTTCTGTATCCCATCTTAATGCTAAATGTCTTAACTCTGAAGCGTTCTGGTTTATTAAACGGCAGGAGGGATGTCGACTAAATCTTTCTGTCATTTGTTGCTTTTTTATTTTCCCCCAGAGATGTCAACACCGTGTGAATCTCTCTGTACTCTTTCCTTCCTGGCCCCCTGGAAACTGTCAGTGGTTCTGGGGGGAGAAAATGGCTCCTTGGCCTGTCCAGGGCATCACCCAGCTCCGTGACCCCGCCATCCGCCATCCCACTTCAAAGATGGCAGACGGAACCGGCCGCTGGTTCCTGGGAGAACATGGGGGCAGCCAGCAGGGCCAGAGACACCCAGACTTGGACCAGCTCTTGCATTTCCAGGATGCATTCCATTTTTGTCTTTCCCATTATTGTCCCAACTCCCTTAGGATTTGTCAAAATTGAGGAAATCTGTGGTAAAATCTTCTCTTAACAGGAAGAGAAACCTGCCAAGGTTATCCTGAGCTTCCTCAGCCCTACTCTCTGGGAGGCGGGGAACCCCGGGGACTGAAACACGCCTAGGCTTCAGAGGACCAGATGCCAATGCACCTTCTTCCTTTAGGGAGGAAATTAAGGCCCAGGGGTAAGTTGTGTCCCCAAGGTCACAGAGCACATTAGAGGTACAGTCAGAACTAGGATAATTCCCCAGGTGGACAGGATCCAGATGGGGTCGGGGCGGCACCCCCTGCCTGGCAAGCCCCCGCTGGCACCAGCGTGCGAGGGGCCTGCTATGGGCTGACGACAGCCCCTGCCCACTTGCAAGGCAGCGCTCCTCCACGCTCCCCCCGCCCACGCTCCCCACCGCCCGGCTCCCTCTCCCCCTAGGTTCCCGCCACACCAGGAGGCCGGGATGGAAGGCTGCTGGAGGAACTTTCTTTTGATACTTAACTTCTTTGACCCTCAGTCTCCTGGTTCAACGGAATGATCACAGAAACTGCCTGCCCCAGGCTTGCTGTCAGGACCCATGCTCAACAGTGACTTGGCATCACCACGTGCTGACTAGAATTTTTACTTTGAACGTGGCTTAATGGAGTTCCTTATCAGCTGTGTTGTAAGAGGAAAGAAAAGATTGGAAAACAACCTAACCAAGCTAACGTCGAGCTATTTCAGAAGGCCCAAAGAAGGCATGCTGGGCTGTTTGGGGGCAGCGCAGGGGACGAGCAGCTTGGACTGGATTCTGAAGGGTGAGCAGCCCAAGGACGACCAGGTCGTGCCAGGCCCAGCGGCAGGGCAGGGAGTGCGCAGAGCTCGGGCAGAGCAGGGCCAGGGGCTGTGGGCAGAAGTGACGGGGCAGACCGTGGCAGAAGGGACCGGCGAGGCTCAGCTGCCAGGACCCCTGGGGCGGCAGCTAGCAGATGACATGATGTGTTTGTGCTCCAGCCAACTCTGGAGTGGTCTCCATCCCCCTGGCCACTCAAGGTGATCTCCCCGCTTCTGGCCCTTTCCCCCAAACAGACTCCATGTGGTAAGTCATTCTCTGTGTGGTAGATTTTACCATCACACAAGATGAGGCAGAGAGCAGGCTCATGTCACACAACATGTGACAAAACTTTGTAAATAGCTCCTCTGGGCATCTCTGATCTTTCCCCAAAGTTCCTGCTGGGCCAGGTGCCTTATTCCCTCCCCATCTCTCTCTCTGTCTCCCACCTCGGTCTCTAAGACATTCTCCTGGGTCCTAACAAAACAGTGGCTGACAGCTGTGAATGAACAAGGTCAACTTGACAATATGACAAAGATATGCATATGAAAGGGAACCAGAGTGTGTGCAGATGAACGGATAGACAGGCAGACACACACACGCACTCACAGGTTTCCAATCACTGAGAAGCAGGTTTTGTTGCAAACCGGCTCTAGTTCCTTTGCTAGTCATTTCCCTCTGACTGAAATAAACACTGTAGATAATATATTGTCCTATTTGCTTCAGGTCTTAATTGCCGAGTGACAGACAAATTCCAGAGAAACCCAGATGCACTTCACGTGGCCCAGGGAGCTGCGCTCCCACGTCCAGATTCCAGCAGACCACGCGCTTCCTCGCTCCCTCCCTGCCGGGTCAAAGCCTGCTCGCCAGTGAGTCAGAACAGTCTCCCCTGCCATCGCTCCCACCCAACAAGCACGGGGCGGGGCTCGGAGCAGGAGCAGGCGGGACCCAACTCCCAGCTAACTCACTCAAAGAATCCCAAAGAGAAGCGAAGGGCGAGGTTCAGGGATGTCACTGACCAGCTCCTAAGTTTTCCCTGAGTTCTGGCTTCTGGATTCTTTCTCCTCACTGGAAGCCCCCATTCAGGATGGGGGTGGAACAGACCCAGACCGAAGTAACATAAAAAGAAGTGGACAGACAAACCTGCACAACAATGCCAGGTAAAAATCATGGTCAAAAAGTTTTTTTCTTTCTCTCCCTTTGGCTAGAGTCACGCAAGCATTGCCAGCTTTGGAAAACTATAGACCAACTATTTCGAAAGCTAACCAGATGTTGGGCTGATTTCCAATGTACTTCCAGTTCTGATTATGTGTCAGTTGAGATCCAAAATGATATTTTGCCAGTTTTCTGCAGGGCGAAAGCCTCCCTTTATCCTATTATCTTTCAACCTCTCTCATACTTCTCATCCTTGTTGCAAGCAACTTCTCAGCAAAACAAAAGCCCAAGATCCTTCTCCTAAACAATGATATATGGAGGGGGGCAGGAGTCAAAGGGTGGTGGGCAGAGTGGGGGAACCTTTAAAAAGACAAAGCTGCAAAACTCCCCTTCCCGGACCCTCGACCCCCGGGGCCAGGGCCCTGCAGACTTGACAAAGGACAAAGGACTGAATCTGCTATTACAGACAGGAACCAGCATTCATTACTGGCCCTACTGACTCACAATGAGCGACTCCCTCTAACTGGTCAACCCTTTCCACCGCATGATATTCATTTTGGTGCAGCATCTAATCTATTATGATTTACTGGAAGGCCTGAGCTAACATTTGGCTTTTATTAACATTGCTTTTATGTTAAAATTGTCCTATGATGAAAAATCTATCAGAAAGAGGCCATTTCATTAGGGGCCCTGCTGAGAGGGCATGGATCTGCAAAAGAGAGGCTGAAGGTTAAGTGCAGCTAACCTGCTGCCTAACCAAAACATCAACCACCCACACACCCACCCCCTACCACCGCCACCAAACAGCCCCCACCAAATGCAGCCATGTGCCTCCAGGCCAGACTGGAGCAGAAACCAGGTACAGTTCCCTGGCCCCACTGAGGCAGTTTCCCCTGGGGGTGCCCCAGGCACCTGGGCCTCTGGCGCTGAACTAACACCCCAGATTCCTCTCCAAACCTGCTAGAGAGCCCACACTCGCTGATTCTGGATTTGGTACCACTGGTCACACAGAGGCAGGAGGTGGGGCCCTGGGCATCACCCAGACTCCTCCTGTGGTGCCCCCTCCCACCCAAACAAAGCTCCCCATCT